TTGAGACAGGGTCTCCCTGTAGCCCCAGCTGGCCTGGAACTCACTATGTAAACCAGGTTGGCCTTGAACTCACAGAGATCTGCCTGCCTCTGCCTCCCAAGTGTTGGGATTAAAGGCATGTGCCACCATGCCTGGCAATTATTTTTTAACATAGGGTAGGAGTTTATTTGCACAAGAGTGGGTGGCCCACATTTACAGCTGTTCGGTAAAGTCCACACTCAAATACAGATCCCGTGACTGCCCAACAGCCCCACAAAATGGTGAGAGGTGCCTCTTGGTGTTCTCGGCGTGTGTGTGTGTGTGTGTGTGTGTATCCTTTGCCCCGCCCCCCCACATGCAGCTAAGGCTGACTGATTGGGTGAGAGGGGTAACTGACTCCTCCCTTGACTCCTAGATGAGTGTGGGAAGGAGGTGTGACTTTGTGACAATAGCTTGCCGGCATAATGGTCAGAGGACATTTCCAGTGAACACTCCACCCCTTCCTCTGACTCTTACATTCTTTCCACCAACCTCTTTTGCAAAAGTCCCTGAGCCTTGGAGGGGTGTGGGTGATCTTCCTCCCATTGTGGCAAGGCACTGAATTTTTGGTTCTCTGCATCTGTTTTCCATGGGCTGTTGGCCAGTTTCAGTGGGATTCCACCTACACCACGTGGAGGCCAGATCCAGGCGCTCTCAGGCATCTGCTGTGTTCTCAGTTTCTAAGCCAGACAGAGGCCCATAGATTTATAATCTTATGCCTTTGTTGCCATATTCACGGAGAATATTTCTAAAAACAACAGTTACGCTGGGCGTGGTGGCGCACGCCTTTAATCCCAGCACTCAGGAGGCAGAGGCAGGCACATCTTTGTGAGTCTGAGGCCAGCCTGGTCTCCATAGTGAATCCAGGACAGCTGGGGCTACAGGGAAACCCTGTCTCGAAAAGACAAAAAAAGAAAAGAAAGAAAGAAAGAAAGAAAAAAAAGACCTATAGCAGCAATAATTTTCATGTTTGTAACTGTATTTACCCATACTGGGGATTTTTTTTTTTTTCATACGGGTTCAAGTTATTGTCTAGTCTCTTTGACCCTTCCTGAATGATTTCCTGTAGTATTTCTATAGGGCACATCCACTGGTAACAAGTTCCTCAGGCTTTCCTTCACCTAGGAATATCTAGATTGCTCTGTGTTTTAAAAGATTTTATTTTTGTTTTATGAATCTGTTGGCATGTCCACATGTGTGTGTACAGAAGAGGGAGTTGGAGTTACAAGCAGTTGTGAGCTGCTGAACGTGGGTGTTGGGAACCAAACTCCAGTCCTCTGCAAGAGCAGCAGTTTCTCTTAACTGCTGAGCCACCTATAGGCCCACGCCCTCATTTCTGACAGATACATAATTCTCAGTGTTGTGTCACTGCTGCCTGGGCTCCAAGAATTCTGATGAAAAATTGGTTGAGATCTCATTGAGGAGCCCTTGACAAGTAATGAGTTTATTTTCTTTTGTGTATATGACTTTTGATGGTTTCAGTAAGTACATCTCAGTATTGATCTTAGAGTTTAAACAACTGGAGGTTGTTTTCTTGGATTTATATATTCATGCCTTTCATCAGATTTTCAGTTTTGCTTTTTTGTCTTTTCGAGACAGGGTCTCCCTGAAGCCCCAGCTGGCCTGGAAATATGTAGACCAGGCTGGCCTTGAACTCAGAGATCCAACCTGCCTCTGCCTCCCAAGTGTTGGGATTAAAGGTGTACACCACCATGCCCAGCCTTAAGTTCTTTTTTCAAATATTTTTCTGCCCCTTTCTGGGACTCCCATTATCAGCATGTTGGTCCACTTGATGGTGCCCCACAGGTCCATTCATACTCATTTTTCTTCTTTCTGCTCCAGACTGGACAGTTTCAATTGTTCTCCAAGTCTGATGATCCTTTTGTTTGATCAAACATTCTGCTAAACATTTCTGCTAACGTTTTCATTTCAGTTGTTATTTTTCAGCTCCATATTTATTTCTATATTTTCTATATTTTCCTTACATTCTCATTTTGGTGAAACATTATTTTCTTGATTTTATGTAGCACCATTCCTTTAACTCTTTGAACACATTTAAGAAAGCCATTTGCTTTTTGCCTCTGTGTTAGACTTATGATGGGGACAGGGGAGGTTTCTGTCATTTGCAGTGTCTAGTCTTGGAAGGACTGGTTCTCAAGCATGGACTTCCACCTCCCTTCATGGCCAGCTAAGGTCTTGACTCTACATGTGGTCCTGTCCTGACACAGGTCCTGACTCAGGCAATACATTCATACACATAAAATAATTTTTGAAAAAAAGTTTTTTAATATATGCCCATGTATGGAATTTCTCAGAAAAATATTACAGTAAAAAAATAAAAATACCTTAAAAAAAGAGAGAAAGCAGTTTACTCTTTTTTTTCGTAAGTCCAAAGTCTGGGCTTCCTTCAGGACAGCTATTTTATTTTTATTTTTAAAATTTTATGTGTATGCGTGCATTGCCTGCATGAAGGTAACTGCAGCCATGTCATGCAATGCCCGCGGAGGTCAGAAGAGGCTGTCAGATCCCCTAGAATTGGGGTTATGGACAGTTGTTAGCTGCCATGTGGGTGCTGGGATTCAAACCTGGGTCTTCTACAAGAACAACCAGCGTTCTTAACTGCTGAACCATCTTTCCAGCCCCAAGCTATTTTCAATTCATTCTGTTTCTTGAATGAGCTTCAATTTTCCTTTTTGGGGAACATGCATTACACACACACACACACACACACACACACACACACACACATTCTATTTTTGTTGAAAACTGGGCATTCAAATACTATAATGGAAACTAGGTTCTCACTCTTCTCTGGTGTTACTGAAGACTAGTAAAATGTTGAGTTACTTCCAAATAATACCTATTATTACTACTGAAGGTAGTGGTAGTCTGTTACTTCTAAATGATTTGTGCAAAGACTGTATTCCTTATGTGTGGTCACTTGAACTCTGTTCCTTCAGTTTGGTAAATGGTATTTTGAAAGAGATTTCCTTGAATGCCAAGAGCCTTAAATATAGTTTTAAACCACACACAAAAGCCCTTCTTCCTGTCTTTGTAGATCACCTTTACACTGGGATTCTCCGACACAGCCAGGACGCACTAAACTTGGGGGGTTGCCCGACATGAAAAGTGCCGCATGTCTTAATCTGTCCAAGAATCCACCTTAGCTTTCTATCTTGGCTCTTCTTCCCAGGCCTTAGCTGCTCTATTATACATCTTGAGATGTGTCCCAGATGTCTACAGTTTTCCTTACAGCACTTCTGAATAAGGAGAAAAATGCACCTTTTTTGGCCTGAACTCTGAATAAATTCAGAAATGAGCACTTTATCAGTCAGACGGTCCTGGTTAAAACAAAGACACTGGAAAAATTTGTGGACCGAAAAGTCTGTTATGGGCTGGGGAGATTAGTGAACTGCTTGCTATGCAGGCATGAGGACCTAAGTTCAGATCCCAGTACTCATACAAAAAAGGCAAGCATAGCAGCAGCATGTGCCTGTAATCCCAGGGTTGGGAAGGTAGAGACCAGAGGATCACTGGCTGGCTTGCTGGGGCAAGCTGGTGAATTCCAGGTTCGGTGAAAAGACTGTCTCACATACAATGGACAGCGACTGAGGAAGACACTCTAAGTCAGCCTCTGGCCTCTACATACACATGCATGTATGCACACATGTGAACATGAACACATATATGAATGCACACGTAAACACAATAATATTCTGTGCCCCCAAACTTCTGTTTGCTAGTTTTATCATTTATAGATATTGTTGAAATCTATTATTGTGATGACTTGCCACAAATAGTGACTTTCCCACATCAACGTTCCTACGTTTAGTCATTGGCATCTTACTTGAAGGACAAGGTTTCCTTTTCCTCCACTAATTTATCTTTAGTTATGTATTGGCATACCCAGTGAATCGCTAGCATACATAAACTGAATGGGAAATGCCTGTGAAGCAGAGTCATGTACCACAGCTTACATGCCATATTTCAGCCAGAAAACCAACATAGAAATAATTGAGAATATGAATGTGAAAATGTTCTTCATCATTCAACCAGGAGAATGTCAGAGATCACTGTACTATTTTGCAACTTTTTTACAGATCTCAATTTTTTTCAAAATATATGGTCAAAAACAACAATTTCAATGGAAACACTATCAGAAACCCTCACAGGGGGCTGGAGAGATGGCTCAGAGGTTAAAAGCACTGGCTGCTCTTGCAGAGGACCTGGGTTCAATTTTCAGTACTCACATGGAGACTAACGACCATTTGTAATTTCAGTTCCATGGATTCTGATGCCTTCCGTGGGTACTGCACAACACGGGTGTACTTACATACATGCAGACAATAAACTTACACACATAAAAATATTTTTAAAACCCTCACAAATACTTCAACTGTCTTAAAATCAGATTTCATATAGTGGCATTTGAATACATTCAAATTTTATTACTATTGTCAATAAATTTAACACTAGTGTCTGTGCAACAGTCCTCTGAGGCAGAGGGAGGACACTACACAAAAATTATACACTAAACAGCACTAAACATTAAACAAGACTGTTTTCCAATGCAGTAAACCAGGACTGACAATTAACTCAGAGTGAACGAGTCCAGTTATACAACATAAGTAAACTTACTACCAAGTGAACATTAAACAGAATTTTTTCCTATGTATGTGTGTATATATAGACAGGTTCACAATATAAAAACCTGTACCTTACAGCACTCTTGAGGTTTTAGCAAAGCATACATTATCAACACAACTGCCATACAGTGCAATTTTATTGGGTAAGACACAAACGACAGTGCACTTAAACCCGAGTCACATTCAAATCTATCAAGAGTACAGTCCAAATACCCAGCTACTGAACAAATACATACTCCTTTTTATAAAAAATTAAACTAAGTTGTGCAAGTACAATACTCTTAGTGCAGCTGGCAACAGATCTATAGGAATTCTAAACAATGGGATTCAGAATGCCCTTGGAATATCTCACCTCTCCACAGATGTGCAATTTGCAAGTGCAGCCAACGTCTCAGCCCGACAGACACAGGAAGCCCTGCACAGTGCAGTCATATTGTAAGTCAGAAACACAGAAAAACCCTTGGACTCACAGATGGCTTAAGAGAACAGCTCCCAGTGGGCTGTCATGAGCATAATGCTGTATCTACAGCGACTCTTTGACTTCTCAGTAAACAGAGCACAGGCTGTTCTTCCACAGGGCTGCTCAGGTGAGGAGGGCCCTGATTTCTTAAAGGAGCATTCAGGTAATGTGATGGCTAATCCTGGGTGTCAACTTGACTGGATCTGGGATTAACTGAAATGAGAGAGATCTTCTTGACTGGATCATCTGAAGCTGGAAGACACGCTCTAAATGAGGTGTTACCTTCTGATGGCAGCCCATATAAAAGGTCATGACAGAGGAGAACACCTGGCTCCTTGCTGCTTGCCTTCTCTCTTGCTGGTGAGTTCGTCTTGCTGCTGTAGACTGAAGACTTGCTGATCTTTTGGAATTTGTCAGACCTTCAGCGCCAGATAGGGACTGAGACATCCAGCCTTGTGGACTGAGCGACTACGGATTCTCAGCCTCTCCAGTGTGGTGCAGCCATTGTTGGACTACTTGGCCTCTATCCTGTGAGCTAAGCTGATAAATCTGTATACATATATATTCATTCTACCGGTTCTGTTTCTTTGGAGAACCCTGACTAATACAGGTAACAAGCTCAAAAGTTTAAATATCTAGTTCTAGACCTTCAGAGGGGTTCCTCTGGGTCTGTACGTTTAAAGGAGAAGCTGTTGTGGACAGATTATAAAGAATAAGTGAAAATGGATGTAATTTTAAGAAATAAACATGTAGAAACCTACAGTTGAAAAGAAATTAAGCATTTTGTATCATTTGCAAATAAATACAAATGGAAAAACCATTCTTCTAATGTCTTAAGATGGTGAAAAACTAAAAACATTCTTCAGTAATAACTTCAGGTTGACAAGGACAAATGGCTGCTTCCCAAACCAGACGCCAACCAGTGTCTGGGGTCTTTAAGTAGATTTTTTTTTAAATGTGAGCAAATAATGCCCCCAGTTTCACCTTCAAAAGATTGAACTGGCCAAAATTTCCCCATGACACTGACTGTATTTAACATAAAACAAACCTTACTGAATCAAAGACCAAAATCCCAGTAAACTTCACCTTTGAAAATGAAAAGCAACAAGGCCCAAGTCCACGTCGGGCCTCGAGGTCCAGAGCAGACTCTTCAGACAGTGGACTGGGGATTCTCAGGGACTGTGCACCACTGTCTTCTCAACTTTGCTCAAAAATTCTCTTTAAATTTTTGCTTTTTAAAAGCCTAATTTTTTCTTGAAATGTATGTGTGTGTGTGTTGTTTTAAACCCACTGGATTTTAGTATTTCTGCTCCCCCTCCCATTTAATACAATAAAAAGTACTGACCACTTACTGAAAAGTCTTGCCAACAAAAGTTTTCAGTTTCTTATGCAAGAAGTAACTGCTTTTTTGCTTTTCAAAAATTTAATTTGAACTTAAGAATCCCTGCACTACTGATAAAGGAAGATTCCTAACAATTGTAGATCATCTTTGTTGGGCCCACGTTATAAAATGCCCCTCAGATATACACTAGCCTTCTCTGTAAACAGAGGGTGGGTAATCTACATGAAGTCGGTATCTCACTTACTACCAGCTCTACACAGCCCAGCTTGCTCACTATTCTGCCACCGTCCTCTCTGCTAGTTTTTAAAGCCACAGCCCACAGAGGCAGCTCTCCAGCCTCATACTTAGCAAGTGCCTTCTCCTGAGTGTGTCCATTTCCTGTTACCCAATGGAAGGTAACTAACAGTAGTACTAAGAACCCTCTTCCTGTTGTACTGATGGTGTACTGTTGTTTTTGTTCTCAAACCTAGGAAAACTCTAAAATTTGCATTATTAAATGATACCAAGGTTTTTTTTGAAAGCTGAGATTTGGACAGTCTCTATGAGCAATGCTAAATGCAAATTTGTCACAAATAGTAATGACTACTGTCTCTATAGAAAAGGAAAAAGGCAAGACCCCGGGACACCGTGCTGCTCTAACTCTGGACTGCACGTCACGTTCATTAGGAAAACGGGCATAGAACTGATGGCAGCAGATCCCTCCACGACCAAGTACAATGAGACTCCTGTTTCTGGCCACAGAAGCCTCACAGCTGATCCAGACAAGCAGTGGGAATCACAGAGGAAAACATGTCCAGATGGTTTTCCTTATGGGACCATCAACTAAGAAGAACAGAACGCTTTTACCTGCAGCCTCAGGACCAACACAGGACAAACCCAATGGGCAGCACACAAACCCACAGGGCTGGCAGCTCGGAGGAGCCGAATACAGGGGTCCATTTCTTCTTTTTCAAAACAATTCACAGAAAACAGCTTCAGCAAGTCAGAGCCCTGCATTTACTTCCTTGGTCTTTCAGAGAGCCAAGGAGTCAGGCAATAATAAAACCACGCTCGGGAGGCAGCAGACAAGAGCTCACAACAGAATCTGGACTGGTGTCAAGCTTTTGTTACAGGTGAGAGGGAGGTGAGAGGAGATGGGGCAACTGGAGGAGGAAAGCAGGAACCACTTCTTATGTGGAAAGTAGCCACAGAGTCTGCTAGTCTTGTTCTGTTCTGGTTTTGGAGACAGAGGTCTCACTCTGTATCCCAGGCTGACCAGGAACCCACTATACAGGCCAGCGAGACTGGCCTCAAACTCACAAATCCTTCTGCCTCAGGTCATCCAAGTGCTGGAATTACAGACAGGTGCTTCTACACCCAGCTCCAGGGTCAATTTTCACCTCAATAGGTAACTCTAAAGGGGTCGGGGAAATGGCTATGATTCTTCAATTTTGCTTGAGTGGACAGTGTTTGCTGTAGTAAGCACTACCACAGAGAAATGTACACAGCAGGTACTGATCCACAGCGTGCAGAGCTGCAGGCATTTGGGGCATCATGCAGTCACTGCTGTTTACGTAACCCAGAGACACTGAATGGATTTCCCAGTCTAGTTAATCTGCCTAACACATAAAGGACAAATCAGCAGACAAGATAGATTCGCAAATGGTTCCAGCCAACGTGACAGTGTGTGATATTATTTAATTCTTAGAACACTTAAAAGTAAAATATACCAGCTGGGGGCATGGTGGCGCACGCCTTTAATCCCAGCACTTGGGAGGCAGAGGCAGGCAGATCTTTGTGAGTTCAAGGCCAGCCTGGTCTACATAGTGAGTTCCAGGACAGGGAGACCCTGTCTCAAACACACACACACACACACACACACACAGGAAAAAAAAACAAAAACAAACAAACAAAACACACAGAGACATATATAAACCAGTGCAGTAAGAACTTCAGACAAGGGTAGCACACCCTGGTTGAATGAAACCATATCTGTAGCTTAATTCTAACACATGAATTCTATGATGGTTTCATTTTACATCCATCATTCAATCCACATTTACATGTTTGGTCAGAAACCTGAAAATCTGAAGTGACAGTAACAGATGCGTCCGGTCAGCAGCAAACGTCTATTCAGTTCTATACTGCATGTATGTTTAGTGTCTACTCTTGAAGTAAATTTACCTTTTCTTAATGAAAATATAGGAAGACCATACCTGTTACCCTTTTAGAAATAATTTGCCTTGAATAACTGTTCTGATTTTCCCTTCTTGACAAACCAGAGTGAGAATGAATTCAGGGTTGGTAGTCCAAAACTGTTTTAAAGAGACAGTTATTTTATACAGAAGGGGGAAGAGGAAAAGGCATGTTAAACAAAACCCTGGGCTCATCAACCACTTCAGTTTTGAAGAGCACTCCTATACTTGAGTGCGAATAGCCTGGCCCATGTTTTGGATCAGCTTTTCCCTAAAGAGACCAATGCCTCAGCTGAGTCAGGACCGTTGCTCAGAAGAGCTCAGAGGCCACTGATGCCATTCCCAACAGCACCTCCAGCCTGCTCCCAATGCAATGGGCCTAATGGCCACATCAAAATGTGTGCCTGCAGTGCCTTTCATTCCTACCGTGTTGAGGAGGCCATGACAGTGCAGGGATCCCAGTCTACAGCCTTAAGGTCAAGGCTGCTGTGTGTAAGTGAACTGAGGAGCAAACAGAGGGAGGCTGACTCTGGCCTGGGGAGAGGTGGGGGGGGGTTGTTCAAGGACTCTCCCGCAGTCCATTGTCTGTTTCCAGTTCGGCCAGTTGCCGCCTCAGAACGTTGACCTTGGCTTGTAGTTCCTTGTTATGTTCGATGATGTTAACCATTTCTTCATACGCTTCATCCAAATATTTAGATGATCTGTTCCAACGCAGGAAAATTCCTGTTGAGTCCATGGATGATACACAGAAGTGAGAAAGATTCAGTGGAACAACATCATGCCATCTATCACTGTACATTTCCCATAGCTCACACTGTACATTACTCACACTGCTTTGTTTATATTTGTGTTTTGCAGCACTAGGGTCAGAACCCAGGACCTTGCACATGCCAGGCGAGTGCCCTACCATGAAGCTATGCCCCTTTCTGATTTTGAGGATAAAGTCTAAGTTGCCCAAGCTAGCCTAAAACCCATGATCCTCCTGGTTCAGCCTCCCAAGTGGATCGGATTATTGGCAGGCACCACGGCACCAACTCACACTGTGTTCCGATACACTCTAAGATATGTAAGCTTCTTAAGGTACTGAAAGAATTCAATTACAGTATTGAAGGATGATGGTTGTCATATCTATGTTCATTAGTTATCAAACATTTATCAAATAAATGAAAATACTACTCTGTCATATGCTCATGGAACAAGCCAGTTATTTTCAGTGCCATAAAGTTTCTACTTTTACAGTGTAAATTACAGAATTGTCCTCAGCTCTGTGGGATCGCCTGAGAGTGAAACCATTTTCACTGCAAAAGCAGAACCACACACTGTTACTTAAGCCTCAGCTTGTACACGGCCAGGACCCGCCTCGGCCCTGCCGCACTGTCAGTCTTCCAGGTCCATGGGCAACTTCTTCCCTCCAGTAACAACCACCCATTCATTACGGACTGGGGAGACACACAGTTCTCATCCCAGGTGACGGCTCCAGAACCCCCTGGACACCAAAACTTGGATGCCCGAGTCCTTAGATCAAATGATGTAACATCTGCTTAAAATCAAAGCACACAGGGGCTGGAGAGATGGCTTAGTGGTTAGGGGCACTGACTGCTCTTGCAGAGGACCTGGGTTCGATTCCCAGCACCCACATGGCAGCTACAAACTGTCCTCAACTCCAGTTCCAGGGGAATCTGACACCCTCTTCTGACCTCCGCAGCACCGCACGACATGGGTACACTCACATACATACAGGCAATACACTCATACACATAACACAAAAATAGTAAGTAAAATGTTAAAAATAATAAATTTTTAAAAATCAAAGCACACAATCATGTCTAGATGTAATTCCGAATTCAATGCACGTGAATAGCAGTCATACTGTATCGTTCAGGGAACGGCAGGGAAGGGGCCTACACACGTTCAGTACAGGTACAAATTTTCTTGAGTATTTCCAACCCACGGTTAGCTGGATCTATGTACATGGAATCCACAGACACAGAGGGCCTGATGCTTAAAGGACAGCTGACTTGTGCTCCTTCTAGGATGCATTCTGTTTCTCTATTATTCTTCAATGTAGAAATCACTATTAAAGCGTACCTATGACGTAAGTATCAAGAGCAGAAATCTTCCGTACCAAGAAGAGTCTTATGCTATGTATCTACCATAAGACTGCTTGATACAGAACCTTCCCCGGCCTTCCACAGGGCCTCTGTTCTTACTGCAGTGGTGGGAGTTCATCCCCACAGTAGCAGTGCTCCTCCTGTCTCCCTATCGCTATCCCACTAAGGTTTGGTGCGATCTAGTTAAATCATCTTGGGCCACCCAACTCCAAATTTGGCATTTGTCCCTAGCATCTCCTATCAGCAATTATACATTGACAGCAGCATTTAGATAAAACTATCTCAGACATCTTTCAAAAGATGTCTACATTTATTTATTTACTTGTGCGTGGGTGTGGGTGTGGGTGTGTGTAGGTCAGGGACAACCTGCTAGAGTCAGTTCTCTCCTTCCACCATATGAGTCCCGGAAATGGAACTCAGCTTGTCATATCACTGGTAGTCGGCACCTGTCTCTACTGAGCCATCTCACTGGCCCAGAAATCTTTAAAAAGGAAATAATTTATTTTGTGACCTATAACTGTCTATAACAATACGGAAAATAACTAGAGGAGTTCTGCTCTGGGCAGCCAAAGGCCTTCACAGAACCTACGCACAGAAACCTTGCTCTGGCAGCTCCGTTCCTGTACCTAGTTCTCTGCTCCGGAATACAACCATGACTAAAGATGCACTCACTGTCTTCTAAGTGATTCCAAAGAAATTACAGGGTATTTTCATAATGGTGGTTTAATGAATAGCTAATATACTTTAGGTGAGTTGTGGTAATTTTTAAAAAAATAAGCTTTGTTATTTAAGGGGATTAGCTGCAGTAGTCTGAAACATTATACATGTAATTTTAGGACACCCTTGGAAACACAGTATCGACTGCTGCTCTTCACAGACAGTGAGGCAGCACAGCTCCCACTGAAGGCCTTTTGTGGCTACTTCAGACTCCACTGCAATGATCAGCTGTGTAACTATGTGATATCATTTAACAAATAACCTACTATAATGACAGCTTCAAAAAGCAACAGATAGAAACCCTCCACAGGAGCTGACAATGTATTCATGTCCCAAGTACCTACCAACTCTCTTAAGCCAAAAGTAATATATTTCTTATCTTTTCATCCAGGGAAGACAGAATAATGAGATAAACCACAGGGCCTATCACACCATCACAGTTAATCTACAATGGGGACTGAACAGTGTGACTTAGTCAGCTGACATGAAGAGGCCACCCCCACACTGAGAAAACAGTAACACTCATACACAGTTGAGGGGGCCACAGCCAGCTGGCCATCTTCAAATACCAACCATAGCCTATGCGCCCAGGCAGCCCAGAGCACAGCTCGGGAAGAAAGCTCTGCACGGGGGAGGGGAGTTACCTTCCCACAGCTGGAGACTCTGTGGGGCCACAGAGGGCCAGATGACGAGGCTGTTGGCTTCAAAGAGCGGATTGGTGAATTTACTCAGCTCGCTGGGCCGATTGACCCATGACCACAAAGACATGGTTTTGTGTTGTAGCTTCAGCTTACACCTGATCAAGGAAGGAAATCACCATTAAAGACATCAGTTATAACAACTACTGCTAAAATGCTCCTCCTAGCAGGACAACTTCTAGTCCCCATATGACAGAAAACAAGGCTTCTAGAGAAGGTCTACACAGAGAGTTCTAGGCAAGCTGGGGCTATAGGGAGAGCCTGTCTCAAAAACACCAAAAAGAAAAAAAAATTATATATACATACATATATATATGTGTGTATAGATACATACATATATCTACACAAACACACACACACACACACACACACACACACACACACGTCAGGGGGCTGTGAGGCGGTTCGGAGGGAAAGTTGCAGGCCACCAAGCCAGAGTTCAATCCCTAGGACCTATATGGTGAAAGGAGAACTGACTCCTGCAAGTTATCCTCTGACCTCCACAACCATGACTAACACAAACCCATACCACACGCATGTATACACACACACACACACACACACACACACACACACACACGAGGGGTGCCCTGGAGAGATGGCTCAGCTGTTAGCTGCTCTTCTAGAGTCCTGAGTTCCTGCTTAGCTTGCTGCTCTTCTAGAGTCCTGAGTTCAGTTCCCAGCACTCATATCACGCAGTTCACAATTGCCTGTAACTCCAGCCCCAGATGAACCAACACCCTCTTCTGGTCTCCACAGCCGCCTACATACATGCACACACACATAGACATATAAATAATAAAATTCACTTGCACAGAAAGGCATTACTCACACAGATAAACACAGATAAATAGTAAGTCTTAAAAATATTTGTCAGAAAATGCAGTTGGCATAACTCTCACCAAGACAAAAACTGTTTTACAGGCTTGCAAGAGATGGCAGGGAAAACCAGAATCTGGTCCCATCAGGTCTGGAGATAAACCTTAATCCAGAGAATGGTACCATACTCAAAAGTCTTTTGTTATAACTGTATCTGGGACTGTATTCTAATTTAAAATAGCTAAGTAAAACAAATCAAAAGAAAATTGCTTTCTGTCTTTTTGACCCTGAGAAGCCTAGGCTATAAAAACAAAACTGATGCTCATCCTCTGGATGCCCAGCAACTGCACCCAGATGGATCAGTCAAGCACCATTTAGAAGCATCTGCCGTGAAACTTCTAAACACACCTGCACCTGATGGGCTGGGCTGGGAAGCAACACTCACTTGGAGTCTGGGGCAGACTTCTAGGTAAAATAGGCTGTCAAGACTGTGAGCAGGAACCAGAAGGCCTGTATTGAGGTCACGCTTTTAAAGACTTGTTTTTATTTTTACTTTTTAATTTTGTGTGTCTGTGTTTAGGATATATGCATGTGAGTACAGTTGCCTGCGGAGGCCTGAAGAGGATACTGGATGCCTTGGAGCTGGAATTGCATGTGGTTGTGAGCTGCCAAACTTGGGTCCTCTGCAAGAGCAATAAACTCTCTTTTAACTGCTCAGCCATCTCGGCCCCAAAGCCATGCATGTGGATCATTAACTGGCTGTGTCTCTGGACCAGTCACTTAATTTCTTTTTTTCTTTTTTTAAAAATATTTTATTATTTTTATTTATATGAGTGTGTTGCCTGCATATACGTATGTGAGTGCACCCGTGTCCTGCAATGCTGGGGAGGTCAGAAGAGGGTTTCGGATTCCCCTGGAACTGGAGTTAAGGATGGTTCGTAGCCACCATGTGGGCACTGGGAATCGAACCCGGGTCCTCTGCAAGAGCAGCCAGTGCTCTTAACCGCTGAGCCATCTCTCCACCCCCTAATTTCTTTAGCTATTACTTTCCTATACTATACAAGGGGACAGATGACACTTTTGGGTCATATGCTAAGCCTTCTCTGAAATGAAACTGGTCCTTTGGGGGCTGGAGAGATGACTCAGCGGTTAAAAGCACTGGCTGCTCTGGCAGAGGACCTGGGTTTGATTCCCAGCACCCACATGGAGGCTAACGCCTGTAACTCCAGTCCAGGGGATCCAACGCCCTCTTCTGACCTCCGCAGGCACTGCATGACATGGGTGTACTTACATACATGCAGGGAAAACACTCATACACATAAAATTAATAAATCAAATTTGAAAAAAAAGAAACTATGGTCCTACATAAAGAAATTAATGTGAAAATGGTTGTCCGGTTCACTCAAAACCTGTAAGCATCATGTCAACTAATTCTGAGCCAGTGGAATGAAGCTGAGGAGCCTCTCAACTAGCACATGCCTGGCTCACAGGAAGTTTATGCTTTGTGACTTATCTCCAACCACAGCCTCTTCCTCTTAGAGGCAACAACACTCCCTAGAGCACCCACAGGAGCTCGCTCACCTTTCACTTTCATTGCTGCCCAGGAATGTTCCAAACTGCGAGGCGTAGGCATGCTCCAAGAGCATGATGAGGAAATGCTCGTTGAATTCGAAGGAGCACGGGAACTGCCGGAGGACCTGCCACACACAGTCCAGGAAGAGGAGGAACACGGGCGCCTCCCACTTCTGCTTACTGCTGCAGTAGGCTGACTGTGCACAGCGCTGCTGGAATGGGTGCCCCGCCTAGGGAACAGACAGGACTGTGACACCAGGCCCTATTGAGACATATCCTAACATGGTGTCACACAATCACAGTGACATTTCTATTCACTGGAGCATCATAAACCCTGGGTGGCTCCTGTCCAAATGTTTTTGGTTTAAAATGACTAACTTCTGCAATTAAGGAAAAAGACATTTCCAAGTTCTTACCAAGGCTATGCAGTCAGGATGCACCCACAGGACCTGCAGTTAGTTCTCCTTGAGACAGCAAATGCAAAACTGAATGTAATGACGAGTCTATGAAGTCTTCTGGCTCGAGCCCCTACAGAGGCCTTCTAGTCATTGTCATCGTCTGCTGTTACCTGGCAGCGGTCCTGTGACCTTGGAGAGCCAGACACTGGGGAAGACTCAACCACGGGACATGAAGGGAATGAATCAACTTCCTGTGTGAAAGAGACTTAGGTCTCAAAGATCTCATGAAGGTGGTGACATTGAACTGCATCTTAAAGAATGAGGTGGATTCTGGATGGACAGGGAAGAGGCTGGGATGGAGCAGGGTGGGCAAAGGCAGAAGTGCCCAAGTCCCCGCCTTGTGGTCAGTGTCCATCCGTGTGTACACTGGAGCACCTGGGATTTTCATGTTAGGATGTTCAACATACACAGCTATCACAAGTTTTTTAAGGCCAGATGTGACGGCACATGCCTTTAATCCCAGCACTGAAGAGGCAGAGGGAGGCAGATTTCTGTGAGATCGAGGCCAGCCTGGAATGGTATATACAGCAAGTTCCAGGTCAGCTGGGGCTACAAAGTGAGACTCTGTCTCAAAAAACCCAAAAACAGTAACAACAAAGGTTGGGTTTTTATTTATTTATTTATTTTTGGGTCTTTTTGAGACCAGTTCTCCCTGTAGTCCCAGCTGTTCTGGAACTCACTATGTAGACCAGGCTGGCCTGGAACTCACAGAGATCCACCTGCCTCTGCCTCCCGAGTGCTGGGATTAAAGGTACAAGCCATTACACCCAGCAACAACACCTTTTTCAGGTGATTGAAAAGCCAAGTGAGTGATAAAAGAAAAGAGATGTGGGTGAGGGATGTAGCTCAGTGTAGATTGCTTGCTTTGCATGCACACAGCCCGGAGTTCAAGCCTCAGCACTGCCCAAAAAATAAGATGGGAGAAATTTAGAAATTGAAAGATTACAGCCGGGCCTGGTGGCGCATGTCTTTAATCCTAGCACTCGGGAGGCTGAGGCAGGCAGATCTCTGTGAGTTCCAGGCCAGCCTGGTCTACATAGTGAGTTCCAGGCCAGCTGGGGCTACAAGGAGACCCTGTTTCAAAAAAGACCAAAAAAAAAAAAAAAAAAAAAGAAATTGAAAGATTATTATAGACTCTTATTTAGGGGAAGGTAAATGACTTGGCCCACAGAAAATTAAATATACAATAAAAAAACATTTTTTGAGACTATTATGCAACCCTTGCTGGCCCAGAAGTTGCTATACAGACCCACTATGTAGACCAGGCTGGCCTTGAACTCAGAGCTATGCCTGCCTCTGCTTCCCAAGTGCTGAGATTAAAGGCATGTGCTACTATGCCCAGAACGATTTAAAATTTTTAGTCAGTCAAAATTACACTAGGGGCTGGAGAGATGGTTTAGTGGTTAAGAGTACTGGCTGCTCTTGCAGAGGACCCAGGTTGGGTTCCTAGCACCCACATGGCGGTTAACAACCATCATAACTCAAGCTCCAGGGGGTCCAACGCCCTCTTCTGGCCTCCATGGGCATTGTATGACATAGGTGCATTTACACTCATGTAGGCAAAACATTCACAGCCAGGCGTGGTGGTACAGGCCTTTAACTCCAGCACTCCAGAGGTAGAGGCAGGCAGATCTCTGTGAGCTTGAGGCCAGCCTAATCTACGTAGAAAGTTCCAGGCCGGCTCATGCTATAGTGAGACCCTGTCACACAAAGACAAAAAATAAAATAAAATAAAATAAAAATAAATTTTTTTTCATATATAACATCAGCTGCTACCAAGCAAGTCTTCAGTCCCAGTGACAGGCAGCTCCCATCCTCACCAGCAGCTCTCACCTGCAGCCACTCTCTTTCTATCAGGGCCTCAAAGCCTCGGATGGTCCTGCTCCTTGGTTCCAGGATGATCTGGGCCAGGGAAGTCACCTGCAGGGTAGAGTCAGTTCCTTCCGTGCCATGGATCAACACTGATGCGCCTTCCCTGAGAGAAAACCCAGAGCACAAATGGGAAACTTGCATGGTTGGGGAACTGCACTAACAACGAACGTTTGTGAAAACAGCACTTCAGTCTTAATCTGTTCTGCTCTGTCAACAGGATCTAGAGTCTAAATGAGACACTAGAAAGATGAGGCTCTCTGGGAAAAAGTTTTAAAAATCCACACAGCAAGAATCATTTTAAGTCATAACAAATCTCACAGTTCCTGTCAACTGCCCCTTCTAACCCTTATGACACCAAAGCCAGTCCTTACCACAGACGGCACTGCCCCTTCTAACCCTTATGACACCAAAGCCAGTCCTTACCACAGACAGCACTGCCCCTTCTAACCCTTATGACACCAAAGCCAGTCCTTACCACAGACGGCACTGCCCCTTCTAACCCTTATGACACCAAAGCCAGTCCTTACCACAGACAGCACTGCCCCTTCTAACCCTTATGACACCAAAGCCAGTCCTTACCATAGACGGCACTGCCCCTTCTAACCCTTATGACACCAAAGCCAGTCCTTACCACAGACAGCACTGCCCCTTCTAACCCTTATGACACCAAAGCCAGTCCTTACCACAGACGGCACTGCCCCTTCTAACCCTTATGACACCAAAGCCAGTCCTTACCACAGACGGCACTGACCTGTTCTGCTTTAGTAGCTGAGCAAAGTCTTTCTCATCAAGTCTACAAACACACACTAAATTCATTTTCTGACCTTGACCTCAACCTTTCCCCTATCAGCTGTCAGACGCCTTGTCTACTGTAGTAACTCAAGAAACAAGCACTTTGAGACATTGGAGTACAAAAAACAAACATGTACGGGTGCAAGTCCAGAAGGCCTGGAATGACAGCAGTGCCCTGAGCGTTAGAAGTCTGGGATCCCACTTTCCTGAAGATGGGAAGAAACCCCCAGACCTGAAGGAGTCATACACCCTGCCTTCTTCTTCTGCCCTTCTGACTGAAACCACAGTGAAGGAAAGTTTGGAAAAAGAAAATTTCATGTTTGGTATCTAGCGCTAATTGTTTTCCCATGTACATATATGTTATATAGTAATAACGAAGGTAATTTCCTATTGTTTTCACTTTTATTGTGTTAGCATGTTTTATGTCATGTTGAGAACTAATGAAGTAATGCTATAGAGTCCATTAAAAAGTGATGAACTATAATTTACTTAATCCTATCATTTTTGCTATACATTTTGCTATATGTTTTTCTTTTTGTCTTCTGCTGAATTATTTGGGAGTTCTTAATTAATATGAAAATAACAGACTACAGCGATAGCATGTTTTTTAAAAAGCCCATTCTTAGGATAGTCTAATAGTAACTGAACACCAGGAGCAGCCAAGACTTTCACACAGATGTGCCTCTTGATTGTGTGCTGTTTATTCTGAACTTAAAATCTATTTCCACATGCTGAGTTCCCCTGGAACTGGAGTTAAAGACTGGTGTTAGTGCCATGTGGGTACCAGAGACCAAACCCAAGTCTTCTGGAAGAGCAGTGATTGCTCTTAACCACTAAGCCATCGCTCCAGCCCCAAATTTTAAGGGTTTTTTTAGTTTTGGTTTTCTTAAAGATGGGGTAAAACTCATAATAATGCCAGGCTGGTCTCGAACTCTAGATCCTTCTGCCTCAGCCTCCTGAGTGCTGGGGTTAAGCTGGGCACCACCACACCTAGCTCACCATAAGATCTTAAGTAATCCATTCCAGTACCAATGTCTCTCCAGCCATAAAAAACTACATTGGTACTTAACCTATTTTGGAAGCAACACACAAGTTAACATTTTCAAAGAAAAGTGCCACCAGGGAGGTGGCGACCATGCTCATACCTGCCTGCAGTTTCGGCAGGAACCCTTTATTAAAAAGGCCACTCTACCACCGGGCGTGGTGGCACACGCCTGTAGTCCCAGCACTTGGGAGGCAGAGGCAGGCAGATCTCTGTGAGTTCAAGGCCAGCCTGGTCTACATAGGGAGTTCCAGGACAGCTGGGGTTACAGGGAGACCCTGCTTCAAATAGACCCCCCCCCAAAAAGGCCACTCTAGGGCTGGAGGGATGGCTCAGCAGTTAAGAGCACTGGCTGCTCTTCCAGAGGACGCATTTGGTTCTCAGCCCTCACATGGAGGCTAACAAATGTCCATAACTCCCATTCCAAGGGATTCAACACTCTTCTAGCCTCTGTAGGCTTCACACAACACACTGCGCCTACATACATGAAGGAAAAACACGCACACACAATAAAAATAAATTTTACAAAAGGAAAAAGGGCAGTCTAAGCTTCTGCAACCATCTATAGCAGAGCCACCCAGCTCTCGTCTCAAGGATTAGAAACGTTTAACTGAGTGACTAAACCAAAATCACTTCACACCCTGCACAGCACTGCTGTCAACCGGCCTTTCCTGACCTGAGATCCAGGGAAAACCACACAGACCAAGTGCTTCGTCATAAGGAACCTAACAATTAGGGAGAACGATTTACTGTGGTAAGCATCACTTCATCGATATTGCAAAGTAGGGGTAAGCCCGGCTTTCTGAGCTGAGAACTCCCTTTCACTCTTTTTTTTTTTTACAGTTTAAGGGAAAAAAATGGTAAATTCATAATATAAGGATTTTATAGAAAAAGTGGACCTATGGTACTTAAACTATTAAAACTCTGTGTACATCTCTCATCAGTGACAAGATGCACCTCTTGCACAGTATTTATAATGCCACCTGAGCATAGGCTACAGAACAGGCACAGGCTTTAACATACTCTATGGACATATGTCTGGACAAGAGCAAGATCTAGTTATCGTGTGCGTCTGGTCTAGGATGTCAAGAAGCATGTTTACCTGTCGATACACTGGGCTGCCAGGCAGGCAGTGGTCAGGATTTCCTTGACGTGCGTCAGCCAGTTGGAGGCCTCCAGCTTGCTGAGCCAACGGTCCATGTTGTGGGTTTGTTCATTACAGGCTTCCACGAGTTTGATTAAGCTCTCCTGAAGAACGTGGTATCTTTTAAATTAAGAAAGAGAAAGTTACCCCCCAAAAAAGAGAAGATGAAAGAATGAAAACAGCCTCCAGTTTATTCAATGGCAAAAAGTCCTTTAAAACACTGCACTACTGTGCAGCTACCTGAGGACTGGGGGGTAAGGACTGAGGTTAGTAAGGCCGGGCACAGTGCTGTGCACCTTTAATCCATCCCAGGAGGATGTGGTATGCACCTTTAATCCATCCCAGCATTCAGGAGGTGGAGGCAGGTGGATCTTTGTGAATCTGAGGCCAGCCTGATCTATAGAGTGAAGTTCCAGGCCAGCTGGGGCTCTGGGGAGACCCTGTCTCAACAAAACAAAACAAAGGATAAAGGACTGAAGAGGACTCAAGTGCTGTTGCAAAGCTGCTCCAGTGTCGGTGATGGCAAACTGCTCCTCACTGAACAGGTGAGAGCCAGTCCACACAGCTGGGTTACTGAGATGGCAGAGGGCCATGCTCTGCATTTTGAGACAACCTGGTCCCAAGAAACAAGGCCACTTACATCTCCAACCCTACAGCCACTGAATGATCATCAGTGAGCACCTTAGGCTAGCTGAAATCTTATTCCTCTTTTTTAGCTCCAAGTCCCACCCACCCCGCAAAAGAACTTTTGAAGCACTCCTTAAAAAGAAGCAAGAATCTGTGCTTGGGGAGGAAATACAAGAACACAGGTGGGTATGGGGGAGAAAACCTCCAAATATTTCAACCCACAAAGATGTGATTATATATAGCAAGTCTGTTCTGCCCATTAGCAAGTTAATGGGGTGATAAGATCTCAGAGCTGAATTAGAAAATGACTCTTTACTAAAGCTCATCTGTGAGCATCCAAGACAAGATTTTTCTGCTTATGTTACAAAATTCAATGAAGACTGGGTGGAGCTCAATTGCTTAATATGCCCAAACCTTGGGTTTACTCCCTTGCAACACACACACACACACAGTGGAAGAGTTGACTTTTTGAAAAGATAAAACTGAAAAGCCTTTAGCTAGACTGAGTAAAAAAGAGAGCGAAGACATGAGTAAATCTAACGACAACGAAAGAAGTGACAGTACAGCTGACACCTCAGGAAAAGAAAGGACTAAATACGGGCAGGCATGGTGGCAGCCCTTCTCAATCCCAGCACTCGGGAGGCAGGTGATTTCTGAGTTCAAGGCCAGTAGGGTCTACATACCAAATTCCAGGCCAGCCAGGGTTACAGGGGGGCGGGGGGAGAGAAAGATTAATTCTAAAATGTCCCTGGGCCTGGAACAGCATAGCAGATCCCCACACCAAGAATTCCAAAAATTCTAAGGCTGTCATGGGTACGTGGAAGCAAATTATAAACCTTTTTTCGTTCTCTCCTTCCTGGTTTGGCCATACTGCAAGAAACCCAGTTTCCTTCACCAATATTTGACCTCTGGGTTCATTCTTTTAGGATACGGCAAGCATGGTTCTATAGATATACACTGGAGTGCCTCCAGTCTCAGGACCACTTGAAAACTGCCAACAGAGACCTTAAACATTCGTGCCACAGAAAAGTAAGTGGGTGAGGTGATGGGCATATCACTTCAACATTTCACAGTCCACAGCAACTGTGCACAATAAATGTGTGAACTCAAGTTCCCAGAAAATAGCCACACCTATGTTAGAGTTTACAAAGCTTCCTGACTGATCAGAACTTTGTGACTGTGGAGCTGGGATGCTGCAGATTCAGAGTCAATTTATCTTATACTGTATCTTGTCCACTCCCATGTTCTCCACCCACCTCCACCTCAGACCTAACCTTCCAGCCACTGGGAGAACTTTGGAATGAACTAACTGGGTGGACCCCCTAGCATCTACTAGCATGGAAGTGGAGAGTGTCAAGAGCGGGCCCTGAGACTTGGCAGAGATTCCCCCTTTGCTGTAACCTGCTACCTGATGTTCCTGTTAATGCACTTGGAAATACCTTGATTTATGACTTTGATCTGTGACTATAAAAACTTTGTGAATCTGTTCGCACAAGCTGCTTGCACGTTGAAATGTTATTTGGGGCAACCTGAATCTGGGCTTCTGGGCCACAGTCACTCGTATTTGGTTCAAGAATAAACTTGCTCTTATTCCCTTTGAGGTAAGAGCTGTTCTGTGTTGGCAAATGCATAAATTTTGCCAATTAAGCCTTAAGAAAGCTGGCTGGGTGTGGTGGCACATACTACCAGCACTCAGAAGGCAGAGGCAGGCGGACCTCCGTGAGTTCCAGGCCAGCTGGGGTTGCAGGGAGATCCTGTCTCAAAAAGACAAAAAAATTAAAATTAAAATTAAAAAGAAACCAGACCAGAAAAAAAAATAAAACAAACCACAGTAAGAGCTGCCCAACTAATTACTGCCCCTAAATTATGTGTAGGTCTAAGCTGAGTAGTTGTGACTTCGAACCAGCTTCCGCCTCACCCACTAAGTCAGCCTGCAGAGTCCCCACTGAGTCCAAAATTTTTTCACTTCTTTTATTCTTATTTTATGTGTGAGTGTTTTGCCTGTAAGTGTACCTGTGTCATGCAGTGCCCATGGAACCCAGAAGAGCACACGAGGTCCCCTGGAACCAGCATCTTTTACCTCTCGATGGACTTGTGGATCCGTCTCCACTGGGGATAATGTGCTTCTTGCTCAAAGCCACCTCCTTTGGCTCTGGCTTGCTGAGCCACACTTAGAGACCGGGTGTCAATGAGGTAGCCCCGCTTGCCTGCCCTGAGGGCGGCATTTATCAGCTTCTCATCCTCCTTGCACCTTCGCCCATTTGTGCCAGTCAGAGGCTGACTGCTGCGCATAATCACCTGAAAGCACAGTATGCCAACAGGTCAACAGCAGTGGCTTGAAAACTGCAAACCCAAGACAGGGCTGGATTAGGGTTATCTCAAAAACAATCACGTGGCGCTCTACCAACAGAGTGCAACGAAAACATCACACGTGAAAACCCTGCACGTATTAACAGTTAATAACTGTAAAACAAAATAAGCCTTGCACCTCAACACAATTTTTCTTCCTGATATCTCAAAATGTTTTCACACAGACATTTCACTTCTTTAAGATCAAGCACTGCAACTCACTCAGTTCATGAAACCGGTAGACCTGGCCCTGTAATGAAGACAATAATGGTCCATGAGCCAAGAAACAGTGACTTTGTGGAGTAAAATGTGCCACCCCAAATAACTGCAGACCTCGCAGACCTAGGAACGGCTCTGAAAAGCTCCCCTTTCACAAAAAGTAGTACCCACCTGTCTGCGTTAGTAGCAGAGGACGCTATCATGTTTCCCTGCCTTCCAGCCTACAGCAAGAGACTAGGGTCTAGTACCTTGCAGATGATCACAGATGGCTGTTACTCAGACGGTTTCAACTGCAGAACAAGCCAACCCAGTTTACTATACACATCTATCCCAACCACCCGTCCATGGCCTGCACTACCTCTTTCCCAGAAGCCCTTGCCTCTCTCTCTGTTGAATTCCTTATGAGGTTTGGCCACCTCACAGCTCTTAGCCTCATGCTCCCTCTTAGACACAAGATAAAGTCCGTATGTTCGCTCTCCCTTTATGTGTCCATCAGTTTATTTGACAGACTAACATCAAGTCTTGAAAGGAAGAATAAACATCAACCCATACACACAGGGTTGGTAGGCTCTAGCAAGAATTACAAAAAGAAATGAAAAATTAAAAGTTTATAGGTCAGGCGTGGTGGCACAGGCCTTGAACCCCAGCAGAGGCAGGCAGAGCTCTGTGAATTTCAGGCCAGCCTGGTCTATCTGCAGGAAGAAGACTATGCAGTAAGACCCTGTCTCAATAAATAAAAAGTTTATCTAGCATCCCTGCTGGGGAATCATCTTCAGTACTGTGAAAGCTGCTGGTCTGTTTTCTCTCTAGTGTCTCTTGTCCTTTTCTGTACTGCAGACACTTGCCCCTAAAGACTACCACCTATGTATTTTGAAAGGTTTGCTTTCTAAGCTTTTCTCTACAAATCAGTACCTTAAACTAATCTTCCTGGTGAAGAGTTTGGTACTGTTTGAAGAACCCATTGGTACATGCTGTTAACTATTCTGCAGGCTGTCTGGACTGTCGAGAATTGGGATGCTATGGGCTGGCAGTCAAAATTCTCCTTGCCATCGTTGGACCTGTTAATAGCAATCTCATACTGGCTTGGATATTATAGGTCTAGTGGCCAGCTGGTGGTGATGTTTTGGAAGGCAGTGGAAACTTTAGGAAGTATAGCCTGGCTGGAATAAGCAGACCTCTGGGGATATGTCCTGGGGGCTACCCTTGTCCCTGGCCCTTCCTGTCTCATGCTGCTGTGGTGAAAAGCCTCTTCCTCCCTGAGCTCCACCACAATGGTGTTCTGCCTTACCTCAGGCCCAAATCAATGGAGTCCATTTTTGAGCTAAACAAGGACTCAAACATCTGAACCAGGAACCTAAGTAAGTCCTTCCTCCACTAAATGTTCTTGTGTCTTTGTTAGAATAATAAAAGCCCAACAAAAACAACTTCTGACTTCTGTATCTGACCTAAAATCCTGATGACTACTAGGCTAAACGTGTGGACTATACCATGAAGCTTAGCTGACCTCTGATCTCATAAGCCCTACAGCTGAGACTGCTGTAATATCTGAAATCTGCATTAGAGGCACCCCGGCTTTGCCGTAACCTGCCTACCTGACTCTCACCAATGTGCTGTTGTTATGTGTGACCTCATCCAGTGGGACATGTCACTTGGGGTAACTTGAATGTATTACCAGGTGATGACCACTAATATTTGGCTCAGAATAAAAACTTTTCTATATTCCTTTTACAGTATAGCAATGATTATAAACTGATACCACCAGGAAATACAACACTGTATTTAGTGTCAGTTGTTAAAATGCTTTCGAAGGGCTGGAGAGATGGCTCAGTGGTTAAGAGCACTTGCTGCTCTTGCAGAGGACCCAGGTTTGGTTCCAAGCACCCACATGATGACTCACAACTGCCTGTAACTCCAGTTCCAGAGGATTCGATGCCCTCTTCTGGCCTCTGGAGGCACTGCAAGCACAAGGTACACTTACATGTATACAGGTCATGTTAGAGGGTGTCAGTTGTCAACTTGACACACCTGGGAAGATGGAACCTTAACTGGGGAATTTTCCCTGTCAGACTGGCCTGTGGGTATGTCTGTGAGGCATCTCTTGATTGTTGAATGATGTGGAAGGGCCCAGCCCACTGTGGTTGATGCCACCCCTAGGGCAGGTGGTCCCGGGTTGTATAAGAAAGCAGGCTGAGCGAAGCAAGGCAGTAAACAGTGTTCCTCTATCATCTGTGCTTCAGTTCCTGCCTCCAGCTCCTGCCTTGGTTTCCCTTGATGATGGGACTATAAGCTATAAGTCAAATAAACCCTTTCTTCCCCAAACTGCTTTTGGTTACTGATTTATCACAGCAATAGAAAGCAAACTAGAATGCAGGTAAAACATTCATACACACAAAATGGTGACTAACAAGAGCCAATCCTTAATTCAGTTCCAGGGGATCAAAAATGCCCTCTTCTGGCCTCCAAGGGCATTGCACACATGGGTGCACTTACATATATGCAGGCAAAACACTCGTACACATAAATGAACAAATAGTAAGTATTTTTTTTTAAACTTTAAAAAAATGCATTATAACTTATTCTTTAAATGTTCTGTAATAACAACACTGAGCAAGCCAGACAGGCAGCCTGCTGACAGACCAGTGAGTCTAAAACTTACACTAGTCCACTTTTCCACGTTTACCAGGGGAAAGGCCAGGAGAAGAAAACCGTCACTGTCTACCAGTTCACTGTTGGATGCAAAATGAGAAGCAGCGTTCATTGAATAACGAGAGAAGAGAAAGTAACTTAGAAAGCATTTGGAAAGTTCACATGCACAAGCTCTTGACTACTGCATTCCTGATTTTCCTGTTTCCTACAGGAAACGGCAGGTGTCAGTCCTCTGTTTGTAGATTAAAAGTGTCTGCTCAGGGCACCTTTCAGGAAGAAACTTGGTGAGAATAATTAAAATCAAATATCTAAGTGTGACTCTAGCAGAGAAATGTCAGACTTTTCTATCTGAAGAGTAAGTCAACAGTTTCCCCCACACTGTGTTCTGAAGGCCCAGCTTCCTAAGCTGAGCAGCAGCACGGGAGGAATTCAGTGTCCTCTGCAGGACAAAGGCCACTCCTGACTCCCTGGAATTTACATGAGGGAAGTACTAGTGGCAACAATCTGGCCAATGACTTCCGCCAAAAGGTCCATAGAAAAAGGGAGCCTCCAGGGAAAGGCCAAGCCCGGCCAAGCCTGTCAGCAGCCCGAGCAGTCCTTTTTTCCGCACTCACCATGCCATTCTTCTTGTGATAGTAGCTCAGCACAGGGAAGCGCCCTCCATGTCGAAATGCTGCGACCTTCCGAAGGGCTTCATCATCAATGGACTTAGGCACGATGACAGCTGGTGGGTAGGAAGGACAGACGACAAACTCCTTATTGACGTAGCTTAATCTCCACTCACTGGTCTGAAAAACACAAAACACTTCAAAGCTAAGCAAGTATCTCAATATCACAAAACAATCTAAGAAGATTTGAAGGACCTCAGAGATCAGTCTCCAGTGATGAAGAAGCCATTTATAGGAACTTAATAGGATACCTAGCCTATACTTCATTCTCATAGAGGGGAAAAAGCTCCATTCTTCAGGCCAGCTTCCAGCATTGCTCACTTATCTGTGTTCCTAGAAAGTTCTTCCTCCTGCTAGGCAATCCCTGCTGTCTTGAAGTTCCTCTATCAGTTTTTACCATGATTCAGACAACACAGCTTAAGTTTCCCATTCACGAGACTGCCTCACAAAGATCTAAAGACAGTTCTTTCCCTTAGTGAAATACAGCCATGGCTCAGCAGTTGGGAGCGCTGGCTGCTCTTCCAGAGGACCTGGGTTCGGTTCCCAGCACCCACCCCACATGACACTAACAGTTCCAGGAGACCTGGCACTTTCTTCTGGCCTCTGTGGCACTACATGACATGGGTGCACTTGCATACATGCAGGCAAGGCACTCACACACATAAAATAAAAAATCAATTACAGACAAAAAAGCAGTAAGAACAGACCACTAAGACGAGGCATGCTTGAGCTGATGGAGTAACCCTAACTTAGTGCTCTCAGACTGAAGTACGCAGTGCGAAACGATCAAACAGCAGCTGTCATCACTGAAAACGCCTGTAAAAAGCTTTTCACAGGTAAAAACAATCAGTATGTATGTAAAACTTAATGAGCCTACAAATCCAAGTTAGCCTAAAATATCAACCCTGTGTTACACTAATAGAAAATTTAACTTAACAAACTTTTTAATTTATAAGATCAAATCATAAAATTAATTTTTTTTTCAAATTTTTTTTTACAAATTTTATCTTCTGTGTGTGTATGTGTGTGCACATGTGTGTGTGCACACGTGCCCAAGCACGCACTAGTCCATATGCATGCAGTGTGGGAGTCAGTTCACTGATTCTCCTGTCTCTACCTCCTAACTCATCAAATTTGTAAACTCAATGTAATTTCTTTAGATTTTTTTTCTATCGCCCTCCTCTCTTTTTCCTACTGAATAACTTACACTGTTCTGTCTTCAAGTTCACAGAGCCTGCCTTTGATCATCTGTCTTGGTTATTAACGCCATGCACCGAATTTTTTGTTAATATTTATTCTTCAAAAAGTATTTGAACGTTCTTTGATTCTTCTTTAAAAAAATATGTGTGGGGGGAGCTATCTGCAGAGATCAGAAGAGGATATTGGTCCCTCTGGAGCTAGAGTTATGGGTGGCTGGGAACCACCTGACATGGGTACTGGGAACCAAACTCAGGTCCACTCCTAACTGCTGAGCCACCTGTCCAGCCCCTAACTGTTGTTTTTTGCATATTTAACTTCTAACGCAGGTTAAGGGAGTGCAGATACACTGTGAATTTCAGCAAAGCATCTGACATAACTTTCGAAGAAGCAGCGTAAAAGTACAAGCAGCCTGGAGAACAGGCCGGCCAATACTTTCATTCTAGAGACAAGGAAACTGAGTTCCACAAGGTCAAAGAGCCAAAGACTTAACTACCTGGGGTGCAACATAAGGTCTCTTTACAGCTACTTAAACATTCTGCTCTTCTCACACCTCACATCCTCCTTGAACACATCAGAGAAGCAGGAGCAGGAGCAGGCAATAATATGACAAGAGAATTTTGCACTTGGCAAAAAATAAGATAAAATAAAATCTTCCAAAGACTAGAGATAAACTAAGTTTTCTAATGTCAGACAGACATTTTGCCCCCCGCCCTTTGGTCCCACTCTATAAATACACACATTCTGACATTCTCTCACTCGCCTGACAAGTACTTACCACCTGCCGGTCATGCGTCAGGAATACGGACAGGAACAACAACCCCATGACCCTGACCCCGCAAAGCGTCCACTCTAGCAGCTCACACCCCCTTCAAGCTCTGTTCCCCTCCTCTACATGTTTCCTCGAGGCACCTTTGGCTCCCCCGACGCCTTTTAGAACATGCCTTGTGACCACTGCCAGCCAGCTTTCCCTGTTGCATACAGCTCTCTCAAACAAGCTCCAGGCCACATTGCATTTTGACCATATTTAATACCATTTATCATACAAGTCCTTCAAGTTTGCATCTCCAAATCTAAATTCAACTCATTCTCTGCCCAATGAACTTCTCTTCCTGTCTGTTTCAGTGATATCATCCTAGAAAATGAGATTTTGCTGTTGGCTTTTTCAGTGCTGGGGTCTGAACCCAGGGCCTGATGTATGTTAGGCAAACACTCCCACTGAGCTACCGTCTCAGAACCCCTGTTCCACCTTACACTTAGTACATAAGCCACAAACGTTAAGAGGGAAGAAAGGTTTATTATGCACAGTAAGGGGAACACTAGAGAGAGCGGTCCAGGCAGCGCCCCCAGCTCATCTGAATTCTGCTTCCTGAACCCTTTTGTAAACCTTCTGCTACCAATCCACACATCTTTACATCACACTAGCCCATAAGGCACATCTCAGCATGCTGCACCAGAACTGTCTATAACAAAGCTAAAAATGTCTTTCCTCCCATGTTGTGTGGGTGCCTTCATTAGGGCGTACCTCACCGCTTTGACTTTGATAATCAATAGACTCTGAACAAGCACAGAGGAGCCACGCTGTGCTCACTTTAAACTTCAGAATCTAGCAACAAATAGAAGTCTTATCAGTAAAGACAGTGTCATTAAGTCTGTGATTACGATATGTAAAGGAAAACAGAACTTCAAATATATGCTCATATAATTAGCCAATATTAAAAGGAAATCTCTCATTGGAAGGAATTATGGCTGTAAGTAAAATCAAAATAAAAATACAGGCTCTCTTTATAATATATGTAGAAAGATACAAGAATTTTTACTTATTTCATTAGTGATTTCATTCTAAAAAAAAGCTAATGCAACTTTAGGCTATCTTAAAAGGTTAACAACAGTTCCAAGCTACATTACATATTTAAAAGAACTGCTTCACATATTTTAGTAGAAGGTCATGCTGAGACAAACAGCCAGACAATGAGGCCCTAAAGTCAGTATTATGGAGAAAAGTTAAACATATTAAATCTATAGAAAAAAACCTCAACCGGGATATAAACATTCTTAATCCAAAGACTAATTCATGGTAAAGGAAAAACACAATCTGTGTAATTCAAGGTTAACATCAGAAACAGTAGGCTGAGGTTCACAGGGAGACACCGCACACTGGAATGAAGAAAACTATTAGGGCTGTCCTCTACGGCAAGCAACGCTGTGAGTGTTCAGCTCCTCCTGCACTAAAACACCACCGAATGCACTTAGCACAGGAGATTTGGGCACAAGGGGATAATGCAAATGTTGACCAGTAGATGAAAACTTGGGACTGGTTCACTTTGGCACCTAACTCCAAGATAAACCACAGGCCAGTTATCTGTGCAAACACCCACTGAAACACCTATGACTGCTATTTTTCTACCCAGGAAATAACTAAGCATTCTTGTGCAACAGCTGTGGGGTCAGATAACACAAAAGAGAAGTACCATGATCTCAAAAGCTTCACAAGGCACATTTAGGAGATATCTGGTTGGTTGGTTTTATTTTTTATAATGCAGTTTTTAAAACAAAAAGAGGGTGCTAGGAAGCTGGCTCAGAGGTTAAGAGCATTTGCTGCTCTTAGCCAGGTGTGGCAGTACATACCTTCAGTCCCAGCACTTGGAAGGCAGAGGCAGGTGGATCTCTGTGAGTTCAAGGACAGCCTGGTCTACATAGTGAGTTCTAGGCCAGCTGGAGCTACAGGGAGACTCTGATTCAAAAAGACCAAAAAACCAAACAAAGCAAAACAAAACCCAAAAAACTATAAAAAGAGCACTTGCTGCTCTTGCAGAGGACCAGGTTTGGTTTTCAGCACCCACATAGTGGCTAACAACCACCCATAACTCCAGTTCCAGATCTAACACCTTTGTGCACCTACACACACGCAGGCAAAATACTCATACACATAAAATAAAAATAAATAATAAAAAATAGAAGACACTGATATAATTATAAATGACAGTAGTAATGCATATTCTACATAAAAATGGTCTTCTGGGTTTTTTTTTTTCCTGAGACAGGGTCTCATTATGTAGCCCTGGCTGGTCTGGAACTTGCTATGTAGACCAGGCTGGCCTCAAACTCACAGAAATCAGCCTGCCTCTGCCTCCTGAGTGCTGGAATTAAAGGTGTGCACCACCATGCCCAACTCCATATGACCATTTTCTAAAAAATTTATTTATGCCAGGCGTGGTGGCGCACACCTTTAATCCCAGCACTGGGGAGGCAGAGGCAGGCAGATCTCTGTGAGTTCAAGGCCAGCCTGGTCTACACAGTGAGTTCCAGGCCAGCTGGGGATACTGGGGAGACCCTGTCTCAAAACAGACCAAAAAAATATATATATATTTATTTTATATGTATGAGTGTATTGCCTGCATGCATCTAAGTGCACCCATGTCATGCAATGCATGCAGAAGGGGAGTTTTGGACAATTGTTAGCCACCATGTGGGTGGTGGGAACTGAACCCAGGTCCTCTTCAAGAACAGCCAGTGCTCCTTACCCCTGAGCCATCTCTCTAGCCCCATATTACCATCTTTATGGAAAGTAAAACTCCCTTTCCTTTTTCTCTTGGCCACCATGGCTTTTCTTTCTTTTCCAACTTCATGGCACCATAACCCCTACTTCTCGATTCCCCAGTGACCAGCTATGGACCAATGACAGAAAAGGAAAGAAAGAAAATAGCCAAGAGAGCAAGCCCAGTTCTTGGCAGCCCAAATTATAAACCTACAGAGGCTTATGAGCTAGTTGGTTCTCCGTGCTGTCCTGGGCTTGTGGGTTCTATACACTTTTTAAGGATGGCTCCAAACTATTATTACATGTAAAGCTGTATCTAGGGAGACACCTATTCAGTAAGTCACAATAAGCCAGGGCTATCGTTAAGCAAATCTTAATGTTTTACACATGCCATTTTCAAAATTTAAAAACATTTGGGGGCCGGAGAGATGGCTCAGGGGTTAAAGAGTACATACTGCTCTTGCAGAAGATCTAAGTTTGGTTCTCATAACCACTTATAACTCCAGCTCCAAGGCGTCCAAAGTGCACAAGCCCACACACAGACACATAGAAATAAATAACAGTTTAAAAAAAAACATGTGGCGCACATTAATCCACTGGAAGAAAAAGCAATTTCAGCCGCAACATGGAACAAACTGTACCAATGCTCGAATGGCAGAGGCTGTGCTGCCACAGTCAACACAGTCTCTAAGCTTAGTGTAGACAGCCCAACTCCACCTCACTAGTCTTCAAGGGGAAATGATTGTTTTCACAAACAAAATAAGGTGCTGGGTTACTGCTCGTTAACCACAAACATCAAACATTAACTCACAGCTGAAGAGTGGAGCTCAAACTCTTGTTCAGGAAGGAAGGAGTGCCAGCCGTCCTCTATCACCTCAAACATGGGTCGGTAGAAGAATGGGTACATCAGGGTGACCGAGTCCAGGGTAGACAATGCCTAGAGGGCAAAAAACCAAAAGTTCAACAGCATGAAACAGAAAACGGTAGCTAGCTCGCGTGACTGGTAACGAGGGCACTCAATACAGTTGCTCAACACTGTATTTACCTCTATACATAGCTACAGTTAGACCGAAGCCAGAGTCCACACTTCCAGCATCTAACAGGGAATCTGACACAACACATACACAGCCTACACTCAGCAAGTGCTGCCTGACGGAAACAAAGGAACACTCACCTGTTCACAAAGAACTATGAAAAAAACACTTCCTGACACAATTTAACAGACTCAATAAAAAGGTCCAAGAATTTCTGAGCATCAGGAAACAAGGAGTTTTAGGTTAGTTAGGAGAGTTTTAGCTGAAAATTCCAATTTTAACTATATAAACACTGCAAGTTATTCATAACCAGTGCCTGTTGGTCACTGTGAAAAGGATGATCAAGCCAGGCAAGGACTGCACATCTTTAATCCCAGCATATAGGAGGCAGGAGTAGGTGGGTCTCTATGAGTCTGAGGCCAGCCTGGTCTACACAGCAAGTTCCAGACCAACGGGGCTATAAGGGGACCCTGTCTCCAAAAAGACCAACTCTGTGGTCAGCTGTCAAGAGTCAGAAACTCAGGTTCCAAACCAGCTGCCCAGGAGCTGAGTCATACAGCCTCCCGCTGCTCTGCTTCCTGAACCGAATGGAAGAGAACAGCAACACCCACCTCTCGGGCTTGCTGGGATTTTCAGAAAGACAAGCATCTGCCCAGCTCAGAACAGTGCCTGGCACGTAATAAAATGGAGCTCAAGCTTAGCTCTCATAAGAAGCTCACATGCAGACTGCATCAATGCTCAGTGCCTCCTTCCTAGAGAGTTCAGCCAATCAGTCAGACATTATTCTAACTTCATGCTGCGGTGACCCAGGCTCAAGTTGGAGCAGTAATTCCATATTTATCTGGAGCACTTGACTTCTGGGTGACAAACCAGGAAAACCTGGTTAGTGACATGGACAGACAGAACCTCCTCCCGCACCTAACAGACACATCTTTTTAGAGTAGTTATGGAAAAAGCATTTCTAGGGCTGGAAAGAAAGGGCACCTAACCACCTAGTGTAACTCAAACTGCTGTGATATAGCCACACTCACTCAGAAGAAGGGAGGCCCAATGGCTTGCTCCCGGGGGTAACAATTGGAATCAGACAATCAGAACTAGGGCAGTCACCCCCTCTAGGTCAGTGTGGGGTTAGCCCAACAAAGGATGGGCCCATGATTTACTCAGCACTAGACTGGACAGAGAGGTCAACAGTTTGATTTTGTTGGTTTTAGGTTTTGAGGCAGGGTCTCAAGTAGCCCAGTCTGGTCTTCAACTGATTCTATAGCCCTAAGGTGGCCTTGAACTCTTATCCTCTTGGCTCTGCCTCCTGAGTGCCGGGATCACAGGTGCAGCATGCAATCACACTCAGCCCTAGTTCAACAGTTTAACACAAACCTCCCCATGCAAAATTGTTTTCTATCTGTCCATAAATCACGAAGCTGCCTGGCATGGTGGTGCACACCTTTAGTCCCAGCATTCTAGAGGCAGAGGAAGGTTGATCTCTGTGAGATGGAGGACAGCCTGGTCTACATAGCAAGTTCCAGGCCAGCCAGGGCTACATTGTGAGACCCTGTCTTAAAAACAAACAAACAGGAAATCATGAAGCCTTCCCTTACAATGCTCACTAAACACAAAATACACAAGCACACATATATGTGGGTCAGGAGTTTTGTTCTGAACACTTCTATTTTGTCTTTGACTGCCAACTGCAACCACAGAAGCAAAAAGATCAGTGTGCAGGTCTGACCTAGGTCAGGGCAGCCGTGGATCAGCAGAGCGACTGCTGAAAATGCAAGTCAGGGGCCACTCCTGGGAGAGCTGAAAGCACTTCAATTCCAAAAAGCAGCTGACATTACACAGCAGAAAAAAACCAAAAAACAAAGAAAAACCTTCATTAAACTTCTTGCTACAATTCAAAACCTGAGCCCTTGCCAGTTACTCTCCGAATGGGACTCTATTCACAGCAGCAAAATATGTTTTCATATAGACATTCTGGATGACAAACAGCAGCTCCACTATGCCATGATTCACTTACTGCATTATTTCTAAATTCAGATGTAAGCAGGCAGGGGGCTGCCTGAATGCCAGGGCAAAGTAGAAGCAGGGTCACTAAGTTCACTATACACCAAGTATGTTCAATGTGCTATCAATACTCAACAGAGCCATTTGTTTTCTGAGGTTAAATTATAAAGATAGCCCATCATTTACGGCTTCTTTCAGCCCTCAGGGCTTCTACATGGCGTGTTAGTGTCTATGGGGCTTTGTGTAATATACACAGCTAAGACAACCACTCAGTGTCAGATGCTAAAAACTGAAGTGAAAGTAACTGTGTCATCAGCATGTGGGTGACGGGTCTGCCCTCCTCACTGCTGTGCCTCACCACAGGCAGCATCTCTGGGAGCCACAAGCTAGCCACCTCACCACTGCGAGTCACAGAGGGCCAGAACAAAAAGGTAGGCAAGGGAAAACATCCCGTCTTAACTGAAAGCATCCACTGTGCAGCTAACTGGCTTAGAACACTGCCTGGCACATCGTAAGTACTCTAAGATCCACACATGCAGAGGTGCAGCCACACACATCTCCTTCTTAGGGTGACTTGCCAATTGGTCAGGCACTCTCCTACCTTCCTGCTAGACTAGGTGCACTCAGCTCAAGTGAGCCAGGGGCCTTCCTTTGCCCAATTAGTGGACACCATTTCAACCTGCTTTCTCACTCATGGAGTGGAATCTGATCACATCAGGATCACACTTCCAATGACAGTTATACAACAGACTTCAGTTCATGTCATTTCTTCAAGCAAAACTGAGCAACGGCAAAAAGGTTTCGTGCCATTTACTCCGAACCACATTGGCTTTTCCTCTACATCTCTATTCTTGATAAAAAACAAACAAAATTCTAATCACAGATTTGTAGGGTTTTCCTCTCTCAACCGCTAAACCTATTGCTTTGAGTGGGTGGGGGAACATAAAACCAAAACAAAAGCTGGACATGAAGATGCATGCCTTTAATCCTAGTGCTTGAAGGCAGAGGCAGACAGATCACTGTGAGACCAAGGCCAGTCTGTCTACATAGCAGAGTTCCAGGCGAGCTGGCATTACAGGAGGACCCTGTCTCAAAAAGACAAAAACAAAAACCAAAACAAACAAAAACCACACATAAGTTGGTTACACAGGCAGGAGAAAAAAAAGCAACCTGACTATAATTATCTAGAAATTACTTAAACACAAAGTCAATTGATGTAATTTAGTACCAGAGACTCAAAATAAGGCAATTTAGGGGTTGGAGAGATGGCTCAGCAGTTAAGAGCACTGGCTGCTTTTGCAGAGGACCCAGGTTCGATTCCCAGCACCCACGAGGCAGCTACAAACCATCCTTAACTCCAGCTCCAGGGGAAGCTGACCTCCGCGGCACTGCACGACACGGGTGCAGTCACATACATGCAGGCAATACACTCAAACACATAAAATAAAAATAATATTGTATAACTGTATTAATTCAACTGTGAACCTAAAAATTTACAGCCACTTTTGAAAGAGATGTATCCTTGCTCTGGAAATTGTTACTGAATATGTTAAAGCTGTAATGAATGAAATGCTTCTTCTAATCATGTGGTTATTAAATTTAAAAAAATCTATAAAATATTTTTTAAAAGGCAATTTAAAATTTAGGCATATATCAAAATAGTTAGAACGAAGAAGAAAATGGAATGTGGGCTCCTCAACTGAGACTATAAACTCTCTAAGCAAAGTTCTGTTCATGTGCGGCCAGAATCAATGTTCAATACTGATTATGTAACTGCAAAGTAATCCTAATCTTAAGTGATGAAAACAAATACATAAAATTAGATATACTAAAAAATAAAAGAACCATTGTTGATAGTTACTTGCTTTTAATGTTCATAACAGTGTGAAAATACTTCCTAGACAAAGCCAAATCGTAAGCTTAGTGTTAAAACAGTGAATTTTATGTGATGTGGCTGTTTCTACCACAGTCTCAGCATGAAACTTTGTAAATGATAGAAGACCCTCAAAGGAAGCAACCACTTACTACACTGCGCATTCTTCATATACCCAAGAACGCAATCCTACAACAGTCCTAAGAGGCAGGTAACGGTATCCTCCGTTTATAAGTAGGAAGCTGATTATCAGACAAGCTAAGTACTTTATCCAAGGGTCACAACCTAACAAATAGAAAAATTACGAGTGAAATTGCACTATTACAATAATCACATTTGTAAGATTAAGTAAGATTAAGCACATTGGTAGGATTATATACAATGTTCAAATGTCCAGAGTTGTATCTATGTCAAAAGATATACTACACTCACTCAAGAAAACAATTCTGTCTTGATGCCAATCCTGAAGAGAATTAAGTAAACACTCTCCACTGTGATATTCAGCATCTGGGAAAGCCCTTAGAGAAAACAGGAAAAATCCAGCCAATGGGAGCCTCTACAGCCCCGCCTCCCCCCCTCCGCCATACATACCCATCATAACGTGTTCAAAATCATTTCTAACTGCATTTGTTTCACTGGTTTAAAAGTCCACATAGGGGCCAATGAGGTGGCTCAGTGGGCAAGGCACTTGCCATCAAGTCTGAGCACCTGCGTTCAATTCCGAGGAGCCACATGATGGAAGAAGAGAACTGACTCCTGAAAGCTGTTCTCTGACCACCACACGTGTGGAACACATTCATCAACAGATATATACACACCTACACCCACACAATAAATAAATAAATGTAATAAAAATATTTTTAATTCCACATAGGATATTATTTCAAGAAATCCATTAAATCAGGAAAAATGTTCACAAACTGTCCTTCATGCAGAGGAAAGGATCAGGATTTGTACAGGAAGCATGAACTCAAGGCGTTCATTTTTCTAAACAAGAGCTCATATGTCTCAAGTGAAACAGCAATATGAACTCACGGAGAGTCCATCCAGTAACTGAGGTGAAACTCCGACTTCTAAGCAAGTAGTGGAATTAGGGTCACTCACAGAAAGCAACACTAAAATTTCAGTAAGCACAAAAAAGGTCCCATTACACTAAGGTGACATTACACCCGGGGCGGGGCTTTTCCTAGGTCAGTATGAGTCCAAGAACAAAATCAAACATCCAGTGAAGGTAAGGCTGCACTGAGGCACAGCACATCTTCTACCCTTCAGGTGTCTGTCTACAGAATACTCACCTCAATGGAACTGGCTATATTTAAACATTCCTCCATCCCAGGAATATCCAACTGAATAATTCGAAAATCTTTACATTTTATGATGATGGTACCCAGAGATCCCACAAATCTGTAAGAAATTACAAATCATATAAATGGCAAGAAAAATTGATAGGAAAATAAGTTAGGACCAGACTATGGGGTTCAGCCTTTACCATGCATGCAACAGAAACCACTCCATACTTCTACACACTGAAAGGTGAACTGAGGAGCCTACCCTCTGCTTGTATGAATGAAGGACCTAGTAGTGCTTCACCCAAACCTGCGGCAACACTACCATCTCAGATTATCAAGGCAAAAACCCCTTAGACATAACATCCACATTCCGCTGTGAGGCAACAGAAAGTTATATTGCACTCATACTTTGGAGTAAATTGGATAGTCGTTTTTCCTTCTCTTGGCTACTATACAGGAACACTGGGCAGATGGGAAATTTGGTGCTGTCTTGCACATATAAAGTATGGAGTGGGAGAATAAAGGTTATTTAGTTCACGCTTTCACAAGCCAAAATGAGTAATGATGACCAACAATCACTCTCAGTGGGAAATATTAAATCGATGACCCAGAAAGGAGTAGGATAAACTGAACTTTAAAAGGGTCTTCCCTATTTGACCCACGTTGTCCTCAAACATGCCATCCTCCTGGCTCAGCATCCCTAGTGCTGAGATTATAGGTGTGTACCACCACATTCAACTTTAAACATCTTTGAGGACAGATAAAATACTTTCATGGCCAGGCGTGGTGGCACATGCCTTTAATCCCAGCACTCTGGAGGCAGAGGCAGGCGGATGTCTGTGAGTTTAAGGCCAGCCTGGTCTACATAGTAAGTTCCAGGACAGCTGGGGCTACAGGGAGACCCTGTCTCAAAAAGACAAAAAAAAAGCTTTCATGGAGCATAAACACTGAATATACTCAGTTGAGTTTTCCTCACTGTGACCAGGCATCTGGCACACATCTAAAATTCCAACACACATTTCCAAGGCTGAGGCTTGAGAATCTGAACTGGCCTGGGCTACAAGAGGTGATCCTGTGTCCAAAGAAAAAACACTTTTTTTTTTTTTTCTCACAAATGAGACTGACAATCAATAATAACTCAAAAAAGTAAGAGAGGCTGGAGAGACCGCTCAGCAGTTAAGAGCACTGGCTGCTCTTGCAGAGGACCCAGGTTCGGTTCCCAGCACCCACATGGTGACTCACAACCATCTGTAACGCCAGTCCCAGGGCATCCATCGCCCTCTTCCGACCTCCGTGGGGATTGCACGACACAGGTGTATTTACATGCATGCAGGAGATACACTCATGCACATAAAATAATTTTAAAAATGAATGTTTTTTTAAAATAGTCAAGGAATCAAATTTAAGAGAATATTGAAACCACACCCAGCTGGGGTCAGGCCCCAAGGGAAGCCATGACTCTACAGAAGCCGGATGCCAGGCCGGGCTTTCAGATCCCAACCTTGGCCCCGGCCGCGCACCGTTTGTCAATGGCGTCGATGTTAGAGTGCAGGAGCCATAGCTCCTCCGTGCTGTCCTGCCGCGAGGACAGGATCAGGTGGTGGCCGGTCAGGCACAGCGTCCCTTCCACGGCGGGATAGAAAGGTCGGTGCAGCACCACGTTGTCCACCCGCGGCGTCTTAATCAGTTCCGCGAACTCCATGGCCTCGCAGCAGCAGCCCCGGGGCTGCGCGATGCCGGGGACGCGATGCCGTTACACCCGACGCTGTAGGGAGGACGAGCCCCGCCCGATTGGGCGGCCGCGCCTCGAGCCCCGCCACAGAGCGAGGCCGGGCCGCTGCAGCTGCCACCGGCCTCGGGCGGGCAGGGAGAACCGGGGAGGAGGAGCAGGAAGCCGCGTCCTAGCGGGCATCCGAGCCCCAAGCCGCTAGGGACTCAGCGGAAGTAGCTGCGGCCGTCGCACCCGGCAGTAACTCCGGGCGGAAGACGTAGAGGTCGGAACGGAAGTTGTTCTCATTGTAGCTCCGGTGGAACACAGCGAGAGTCAAGGACTTACGTTCCTACAGAGAAACGCGCTCTCTCGCTCTCTCTCTCTTTTTTTTTTTTTGCCTTCGCCTACCCCGGGTCCGGTCCTTGCCCCTTCCAAATACTCCATATCCGGAAAGACGCGACGGGAAGACATCCTGTACTGGCTCCCTCCATTGAGGAGGGTCCCCTCAAGGGCTCTGCAGAGCGTGGAGATTCTCCTGATTGACCATGAAGAGATGACAACTGGAGGATGAAAGCAGTGATGGGGACCAAGAGGAACCGCCTGTGCTTATGAGGGACACGGGCTACACCTCAGACGCCTTGAAACCCATGACCTGAAACAAGAAAAGTGCATCAAGCCCTGAGGGGCTGCAGGTGCATTGCAGAGGGGAACTAATTCATCCTGGTCCCAACACAAAACTCAAGTGACAGCAGAGGCTGCCCCGGTAAATCTGTAGCAAAGCCTGGGTCACACGGCACAGCCTCCCAGATGAACGATTCCCAGACATTGCAATGGCACCGTTTTGCATGTAATTTCACTTCGTCTCTTACATTTTTATTTCAGAATAAAAATCATGCTTGAGCCATTTGCCTTTGAAATTCTCACATAGAGTGCCTAAGCACAGTGAGTTTGCCAGTCTTAGGATACACAAAATAAACCTGACCAGATCACACTGTGCTTGTCACGGCATGTGTCCTTGGCCTTCTAAAATGTTCCCTTCTTAAAAACACGGTATGAGAGTGACACCCCTGAGGTTTCAGTTTAGCTTATCTGCAAAAGAAAACCGACAGCGAGTCTAAGGGAAGATGGGGAAAATTATTTATGAAACTATTTTTCTAACTGGAATGTTGGTCTTCCTTCCTTATGAGGTTCACTATAATAACTATCAATTGTGGAAGGGGGAATTTCCTTCCAATCTGAAGAACTAGGGAAAGTTTTACAGAGAAAATACCATTTGAAAGCAGGGCCTTGAAGGATGAATAAAGGTTCTCTGAATGGAAGATGTCCAAAGTAGAAAGTCCAACTTAATTTCTACTAGAGGAGGGGAAATTCTCCAGGAATTCCATGGACCTTTGGTTTTCTTGACCATGAATGATGAAAAGGCTATGATGTCATTAAGTTTAAAAAAATATTTAATATTCTATAACCATAAACTGGTTTTTGCTGTGAGAGAAAATTGTCAGTATATTCTGACTTGCTATAATGAAATGCCAGAAACTATTAGAAAAGTATAGTATATATACTGTGATTTGAAGCTCCTGAGTGCTGAGAAAAACCGAAATTGAATTGTTAGGAACCGAGTATGATGAACAATGAAGACAATTTCCCTACATAAACGGTAAGTGGCAGTAGAATTCTAAAGTAATTGGATGGGCTTCCATTCTACTATAATCCAATGGTGTAGTCAAGCAGTACTGTTCAAACTGCCAAGGTATAAGGGTCTCAGAGGGTTCTGATAAGCCAAGAAGATAACGGAATTTATACTGCATATAAAGAATTTATTCAAGGGGCTGTGGAGCTGGAGCAATGTGTAAAGTGCAGACATGAGAACCTTAGTTTAGAGCCCCAGAACACCTGCACCTAGAACGCCAGCACTGGGGGGAAGGGGTAGAAACAGGAGGATTTGGGGGCTCAGTGGCCAGCCAGTCTAGCAAGAGCAGCAAGCTCTGCACCAATCAATGAGAGACCATGTCTCATAAATAAGGTGGAGGGACTGGAGAGATGGCTCAGCACTGGCTACTCTTGCAGAGGACCAGGGTTCGATTCCCATCACCCAAATGGTGGCTAACAACTATCCATAACTCCAGTTCCAGGAGATCCAAAACCTTCTTCTGGCCTCTGCAGGCTTTGCATGATATAGGTGCACTTACATACATGCAGGCAAAACATTCCTACACATAAAAATTAAATGGGGGCTGGGTGTCGTGGTGCACGCCTTTAATCCCAGAACTTGGGAGGCAGAGGCAGGCAGATCTCTGTGAGTTGGAGGCCAGCCTGGTCTACATAGTGAGTTCCAGGTCATCTGGGGCTACAGGGAGACCCTGTATCAAAAAGACCAAAAATAAATAATAAATAAATAAATAAAATGGAAAGGGATCAAGAAAGACACCTGATGTTCCCCTCTGAACACACACCGACACACAGACATGTAAGCCTGTATGTACATGCACACACATGCATACAACACAGACAACATAAAAATAATAAATGTAAAAGAATCTATTCAATGTCTTACAAATATTATTATTACCATAATAATTGAGATAAAATGGTATTGGTATGTAATCAGCAAACTGTTATTCTAGGAACAAATGAGAAAATGTGATATTTGTCTTTCTGAGTCTGATTTATTTTCCTTTACATAACCAACAGTTCATTTATTTTCCTGCAGGTGACATAACTTCATTCTTCTGTATGGCTGAATACAACTCCACTTTTTCTTCATCCATTCATTTGCTGAAAGATACCAAGGCTGATTCTATAACTATTGTGAGCAGTGCCGCAATAAACATCTATGTGCAAGGATTTATGTGGTTGTTGGTTTAGAGTCATTTGGGTATATACCAGGGATATAGCTGCATCATATGGTTGTTCTTTTGTTTGCTTGGTTTTTGTTTAAATTTTTTACAATTAGTGTGCATGTGTGTGTGTGTGTGTGTGTGTGTGTGTGTGTACCTGCTATGACATGTGTGTGAAGGTCAGAGGACAACTTGCACAACTTGTGAGAGGCAGTTCTCTTCTTCTACCATGTAGGTTCTGGAGATTAAACTCAGGTTTGTCAGGCTTTGCAAGAAAGCACCCTTACCCACTGAGCCATCTGGTCAACTTTAATGTTTTTGAGGAGCCTGCCTACTGATTCCCATTGTTACTGGTTTTACTTATATTTTCACAGCAGTTTAAGGGAATTTCTCCCCTACATCTTCAACAGCATTGTGTGTGTGTGTGTGTGTGTGTGTGTGTGTGTGTGTATGTGTGTGTGTGTACATGTTCATGTGTGCAGATGTGCCTACATGTTTTTATGCTTGCATGTGGAGGCCAGAGGTCAACACTAGGTATCTTCCTCAAGCACACTCCACCTTATTTAATTTATATCTATTAAATTATGTGTGTATGTGCATGTGGGTACAGGTGCCCAAGTGTGGGGACCTAAAGGCCCCGCCTTGCCAAGATGGCACCTAGAGGAAGTAAGCAGGGTGCGGCCTGACCTGTCCTGAAGAACATCGAATTGGATGCCAGTCCTTCCGCACCCCTGGGCGGTGCGTGATCAGCGCGTGATCAACGTGGACGCCTATGGGACCCTGCCCATGTGGCAGGTTGACCTTTAAGCTGATTGGGGGTTTCCGAGGGGATTTCCAAACTGCGGTTTTTTTGCCTATATGAACTCACCTGCAATAAATGAGTTCCTGCTTGACAAGACTCCCTGTCGCGTCTGATTGTCCTCCGCGAGGAGGGCTGGCGAAACGGGGGCGGACAGCGCACTTAACCCATCCTCGGCCCCCATCCTGAGCTCCACGTCCTGCCTTGCTGGCGGGGCGGAGGCTCGGCACCCAAGGAGGCCAGAAGTGTCAGATACCCCTCGAACTGTAGTTAACCAATGAGCCATCTCTTCAGCCTCTTCTTCCTCATTTTTTAAGATGAAGTCTCTCTTGAACCTGGAGCTCACTGATTCGGCTAGACTGGCTGGTCAATCAGCCGTAGAGGGTCGTCCTGTGTCCACCCTTCCCTAAAGCTGTGCTTACAGGAGTGCACTGCATCCAGATTTCTTTTACATTTATTTATTTACGTGTGTATATGTGTGTGTGTGTGTGTGTGTGTGTGTGTGTGTGTGTGTGTGTGTCTGCGTCTGCGTGTGTATGTGAAACTCAGGACTTCAGGCTTGGTGGCAATTGCATTTACCAGACGAGCCATCTTGCCTGCCCTGCACCTGGCTTTTTGACGTGTGTTCTGTGGCATGAAACTCAGGCATTCACACTTGCATGGTAAGCACTGACTACCCGAGTCATCATGGTAGCCTACATTTGTTCTTTTCTTGACAGTAGCCATTCTGGCTGCCTTTCCCTGATGCTAAGGATGTTGAACACTTTTGCATATGTTTTATGGCTATTTGTTCTTCATCACTGTACTCGCCCATTTATTGATTGGATGGCTGTTGTTTTGATATTTAGTCTTTTGAGTTCTGTGTTCTAGATAGTAGTCCTATTAGATGATGGAGTAGCGAAGATTTCTCTCCTGTAGGCTGTGTCTTCACTCTGCTGATGACGGGTTTCTTTGCTGTGCTCTTTCTTGCAATCCCATTTGTCAATTCTTGAAATTATTTCCTTTGCCATTAGAGTCCTTTCCAGAACTTCCTTGCCTAGATTTTCAAATGTTTTGCCTATTGTTTCTCAGAATTTCAAAGTTTCAGGTCTTACAGCAAGGTCTTCAATCCATTTTGAATTGATATTGTGCAGGGTGAGAAATAGAGATCTAGTTTCATTCCTCTACATGTGGATACCCATGAACACAAGGGGATCTTACACCTTCTAGTGTCTTCTTCAATGTTTCAAATTTTTCATTGTAGACGTCTTTCATTTCCTTGGTTAAGTTTGTCGGAAGCTATTGTGAATGGGATTGTTTCCTGATTCCTTTCTATGCATGCCCATTATTGGTATATAGGAAGGCTGGGAGGTGTTGTATGTTGGTTTTGAATGCTGCTACTTTGCTGGTTGTACTTACCAGTTCTCAGAGTTTTCTGGTGGAATTCAGAGGGTCTCTTCCACATAGAATCATATCATCTGTAAGTAGGGATAGTTGCACTTCTCCATTCCTGTCTATACCCCATTTGTTTCTTTCTCTTGCTTTATTGCTCTAGCTATGACTTCAAGCACTATATTGACTAACTGAAGAAAGGGAAAATCTTTTCTTTGTTCTCTGTCTTATGGGAAATGCTTCAAGTTTCAGAATAATCTTAACTATAACTTTATCATGTTAT